ATCACACAAAGCTTATTTTGGTCTCGGAAAAAAAGAAAGAGTGAAAAAAAGCATAATTTATTGTGACATTTTATTGAGACAAAACTCGGTATTATTTATTACATATTGATGCACAAACAAAGTGAAACGTTGGCCCTTTTTGCCTCCTTTAACGGTGCACTTTCTTGTGCTGTTCTTTGCTTGTTTAACAATTTTACTTACATCCTCTGGTTTTGCCTATTGCAACACAAGTAAGTCAGCTTCATTTACACTCAATATTAATTATATGATTTTTTTGTTTTTATTAGATAAATTTAGTAATAATATTTATTTTGTAATTATTATTTTTTTTTACTTTAATAACAATTCATCTTTAATTATATAATAAATCAATAAGCGTCAGATAAGGGGCCAAAAACACTTTTTTTTTTCAAAAACACCAAACCATAGAGTTGAGAAAAATGTTGAATCGTAAAAAAATTTTAAGCTTTCTGTATCTAGATCTCATATCACCATCTCTGAAATATACTACACCCAAGTGAGTGGTTATGCTCTCCTTCACGCACACTCGCACACACTCACACACTCCAGTCAGTGATGCAGTCTGACCATAGACTGTAGAGCGCTTCAATATAAACCTGCCATGACCTTCCATGGCTGAAAATATTCATGTTTATTAAAAAAAAAAAATCTTAATCTTTGCATCCCAACTTGAAATGACTGTTTTCCTCAACCGATCCTTTCATACACGCATTATAATCTGTATATCTTATTCCACCACAAGTTAATAGCATTTTCCACTTTGCCTGTGTCTCAACTCTTCCTATTTATATCTTTGCATTTAAAGTTAGAGCGGTGGGCAGCAGAAGTGAGTGGGTGGTATTTGGTTTCAGAAGGAAGTGCAAAGCTCTTATCAGGCCAGCCCCTCTGTTGTGCCTCGGGCCTCTGCTGAATGTGGGGGCGCTGATTACAGAGGTTAGGCTCAGGAGCAAAGGGGAAGAGCTGGGCATATGTCTAAAGAGCAGTCAACCACCGGCCTGTGCATTATAACGCATGAGTAGATGCAGATTTAAATGGGGCCAGTTTGCTTCCACACTTGACTTTGGAATAAGCTGTGAAGGTGAAAGGCACAGCCAATGGATTATTTATTAATTTTATTTGCTATATACAGATTAGCATGTATTTATCAGGTTTGGAAAGGTTTCTTGCGAGTTTCTGTTCTGGAGCAATGGGCAAGACATAAATATGAATAGAACCACAACCACATAGAAATACAACCACAAAAGCATAACAGTGTCTTTCCTCGTCAATTTTCTCCTGCTTGATATAGAGCTCTACTTACTCATTACATCCATTCTTATTCTACATGTTTTTAGTGGTAGGGGAAACCGTAGCACCCAGAGGAAACCTATAAAGACACGGGGAGAACATGCAAACTCCACACAGAAAGGCCTGGAGGTGGACTCGAACCCTGGACCTTCTTGCTGTGAAACACAAGCTCTAACCACTGTGCCGCCCAAAGGATATAGTGGAATAATTGCGGACACTAAAATTGTAATTTATTTTCTACCAGGGAAGTTCAAACACTGATTATTACAAAATAATGTGACATTTTCTAATGTGTACTTATTGGCTTGTGAGTGCAAGAACCTCAGTTTGCCTTTTCAAGTTATATCAATAAAAATTGAAATGACTCAAGTGGACTAATTCTATTGTGAACTCATAAACATTGCCTCAGAAGTGTAAACTGTATATTTTGAGAACATCGACTCGTGGTCATGACCACAGCTGCTTCTCAGAGTTCAGACTTAATATTGGAACTGCTTTGACAGTGTGTTGAATGTCCTTCTGTTCATATGACCATTGAACCAAAAATCAACTATGTCCAGTGTTGAAAATGTATTCCATTACAGAAAATTAAATACATGACCTAAAATGTATTTTATGTAGTATTCTGTTACTTTGGAAAAAGTAGTACCTGTATTCCGAATACTTAGAATGAATAAAAAATGTTCCTATTTTTGTGAGACAAGTCAAAGTGCTTCTACAGCTGTCATTTAACAACCAGAAAAAATAAAATTGTCACTTTAAGAATACGCAGCATTATATTTTTTTTACCTTAAAAACGCAATGTGAAAAAGTATGTAGTTCTATGATTTTGAGAAAGTAACTGTATTCTAAATACTAGACTTTATAGTAGAAACTGTATAAACTGGAATACAGTTACTCAGAAAGAGTAATGGCGATACATGTATTCTGTTACTCCCCCCAGCACTGACCATGTCAGGAATATAACTAATACATGGCATAAAATATCTTACTATGTCAAAACCTTTGCAGACGACTCTTCCTTTATTTACTTTATTTAGGCTTTTTTGGGTGTGTTCTGTCTAAAAATGATGGAAGTGCAGTAGATGCCACAGCAGTGAAGCTCTGTAAGTAAGTAAGTACGTTTATTTATATACCGCCTTTTCACTGCAGATCTGAGTCTCAAAGCGGTTTACAATTGTTAATTATGGGCATTTGTCTCTCACTCCACACAGAGATGGGAGCGGGGTCGCCGGTACAGGAGGCGCATGCCAGAACTATTGGACATATTTTTAGTGGTAGGGGAAACCGGAGTACCCGGAGGAAACCTACGCAGACACGGGGAGAACATGCAAACTCCACTCAGAAAGGCCCTGGTCCGGCCGGGATTCGAACCCAGGACCTTCTTGCTGAGAGGCGAGAGTGCTATCCACTCAGCCACCGTGCCGCTGAGTGGCTGAGTACCTCTGTCCTCTGAGTCCTGTGTCAGCACTGACTCACTGCTTTCAGGGCTCACAGCTGACATCTCCATCGGCCCAAACACCTCTCACGGGACGGGTGTGGTCCTGTTTGAGGATGTACTGTTGAGCAACATGGGTTACAACACTTCTTAAAAATGTTGCTCTGAGTAACATCTACTTATATATACACATAAATATACACAGATGTTCTCATGAGTTTGCATACCCTGCCTGAATGTATGAAGCCTATGAAGCAATAACGTTGTGGGGATTATATGAATATCAGTATGAATATGATGCATATGGCATCCCATCAGAAAACTAATAGCTGTAAACTAATAGCTGTAAAATTAGCTGTACTTGACAATAAATTGCATCACTCAACTTAACCATGACTGGATCATTTCGCATCATTCATCATTCATAGTCTCTGAAAAATGACTACATCAGAGTCACTTTTATGACTACTCTATAAAAGTGTTCTAATCTATCAATTTAAAGTGTTTGGATACCTATTGTAAGGTTTTATTTGAAAGTAGGTTGTATTCAAAATGGGTTGACAGCAAATAACAATTACAACCACTGCAAACAAGAAATTATTTTTTTCACTATCTCTCTATTGTTAATGTTGAATTCTACAGTGAAAACAAATGTTATTCTGATCACAAACTCGAGACATAAAATCACTAAACAATCTGCCTACCAACTACACTATGAAGCAAATCCCTGTTTGAATATTCTGCTGAATGTGGACCGCTGTGCTCTAAAATAACCAATTAGACTCCACTGTGACTAAAGTGTACAATGTAATCTCGGGAAATTGAATTTATTCCAAGTTGTAAAGTTTAATGCTTGTAGAGCCCAGAATATTTGTCAGAGATTGGTGTAAGCTTTAGCTGCTCAGGTCTTGTACTGTGCCAGGTGTAAGCGGCTCTATGTGCGTATCTCCTTCAGCTTCCAGCAAAACCCACTGACGCCTCCGGTTAATTCCACTGCCAGCCCCGCCAGGACGTCCTGCAATAAATGAGCCTGGCTTCTCCCCCCACAGAGACCCGGGCCCTGACAGTCTGGCCACCCCCCCCCAAAGTCACACATACGCCGTGAATTATTGCCATTTCTACTTCGGCAGCGCAGGCTTTTAACTGAGTGGGCTGGCTTTTTCATTTGCTGTGCGCGCTAATAGGATTGTATCATGCAATTGCAACAGCTCCCTCATTTCTATTTGCGAGGTGATGAAATTCAAGCTAGGGTAATTTGGAAAGTTTTCTAAATATAGCCAAGAGCAAGATATTTTAGTTATTCACAGCGCGTTATAGGTGGCAAGCTGTTTAGGCATGTACCTGTAGGGGGTATAGAGAAAGTGAGAAAAATGTGTAGTAATTGATAATTTGCTGTGAATTCCTGGGCTGAGGCATATGTTTGGATTGCTGAGAAGAATGTGGTGAATGTATAGTAGGAGATTTAATTATATTTTATCAGGCTACAAAATTGTGTAACCCTTTGTTCGCTTTTTGTTCATTCTTTGGACTATATTGCTGCTTTTTCTTCAGATAAAACAATACAGACTTTTAAAGCAACATTGTGCGTCTTCCTGGAGGAGGTATTTGCTGGAATACATTTGCATAGGAAGTTCAAACTGCACAAAAACAAGTTTTTAACAATGAGCCAGCTTATGTTGTTTTTGTTCTGTGCAAAAAAAGCCTCTGTCCTTTTAGCTGGAATGACATTTGAAGTGGGTTTGTATCTCCAGGGCCTCTTCCTTTCGCTGTAATCTTACACAATATGAAATGATATATAGCTTAACATTGTTTTAGTTAATTTTTGGCCACAACAAAAAAATTACCTCTTAGGGCTTTACAAACTGATTCTCCAGGTTTGGTTTGCTACAGCTGCATATGCTCTGCAGCAGTACAGGCATATATTAGAAAGACCTTGTCAGATGGCGTTAATGATGATGTATAGCTTTGATCTCTACATGCCAGACTCTCTTCTATGTACAAAGCACCACCCTACTGTTATGAGTGACAAATCAAAGCCACTGTCAGATCGATACAGTGGATCCAGGGTCGCACCTCCTCCCCAAGTCCCAGTGTCTTGTGTTAGCTGTAGTTTTTGAATCCAATCAGCTGCATCTGTTTCTTGTCTAAAGTTTTTGAATTGAGTCAGCGTCCTGGCCTGACATCTCTCCCACTCTCACTGTCTCCTCTCTGTGCAGTGCTATTGTGCTTGCTGTCAGCGGAGGCCCAGACAGAGATGAAGAAGGTCGTCGGGGACAACGCCACCTTACCGTGTCACCATCAGTTGCCGTCATCCAAATCGCTTGACATTGAGTGGCTGCTACAGAAACCCAACTCCAAGCAAAAAGTGGTAAGAGTTCACTCAAACCCTTTTGTATTACATTTAAAGTATGTGACTTAGATTTGTAATGTAAATTTAAGTAATGTAAATGTGGCTTACACTGTGAAAGGCTGTTGGAGAGTGTTTTGGCACCGTACCAACCTCTATTTGAGTATTATTCAATTTTAAATAACTGTTTTTATTCTTGAGTTAATTCATGAATATACATATTTGAGGGCAATTAATGTTGATGTGCCTACCCATGCTTTTGTTGTTTACTGAACATCAGAGGGTGGTTATTGCATTTCTACTGGCCCACTACAGTCAGAAACTGGGAAAAAAAAAAAACAACAAAGGTTTTGGCCAGCATCACTGTAAAAATGTCATTGCTTCACAGTTCTGAATAAATGGCAACCACACACAGTGCATTAAATGTAAAAAGTTAATTTTGTCTTCTTATGTTTAAGGCTTAGAAGGTTATTTTAATAAAACAACAGTTGTAAACAAGCTAGTACTGCTTAATAACCTGAGATGTGATCAGAGGTGATCACGTGTCTGGTTGCACGGTCCTATAGAGGTCTCCCGTCACAGTGGTAACCAAGCCCTGTCCTGCTTAGCGTTCAAGATCTTACAGGATCAGGCTTTCACATTCAGGTGGCCGCACGCACAATGTTGTTTGAAAAGTCCTCCCAGAGTTCCGTCTGGTCACCCTGCACATCTGTGTTTGTTCAATAAAAGTCCTGCTGAAATCACATGAAACACTTGACTCGTCCGTTGTAGTCTCCTACCCAAAGTTGCTCGTCCTCTGACCTCCACCAGAGAACCCAAAGTGTTAGTGTGCTCCGAGCGAAAACATATTTCAGTCTCTATAAATAGTCCTTGTCTTAAACCCACAATGTCAGGTGAGGAGTGAGCTATTTTTAGAGTGATCTCTGTCAGACAGTGTTCCCCAGTGAAGCGGCCGCCATGCTGTGGGCTCAGTTCTCCACTGCCATTAAAAATTGAAAAGACATTGTTTTGTAGAGTGAGGAGTACATTTGTACTTGAATATAGTTTTGTACATATTTTTATATATATATACAAAATTATAATAACAAATTATTGCCAGTTGAAAAAACGATGTTGCATCACTATTGGCCGAAGGAGGGATGTCACCGCTTTGATGAATAGGGATGTAGTCTAAATACTTGACTAACACGTACTGCGTCTGAGCTTTGACTAAAAGGAAAAACTGTCAAAGATATCTGATTGAAACCACACTCATACACAGTATTTGTACAAATACCCAGGACGAATGGGTGGGGAGAAAAACTGACCCCTATCGACTAGGGGTGCAACGGTTTGAAAAAATCACGGTTCGGTTCGTACCTCGGTTCAGAGGCAACGGTTCGGTTCATTTTTCAAAAAAAAAGTGTTGTCTTTTTAATAAACACGGCTCATGTGGACTCTGCACCTGGAAGGCATATGCCATCCATCCAATTATGTCTTTTTAACATAATCAGTGAAAAACAACACAAAGTGCAACATAAGAAGGCACTTTATGAGGGTGTTTACCCTCATATATTAAACCACCTTCCTGATTCTCCCAAGGAGGCGGTCCATTCTGGGCCCAGTCCAGCCTCATTCACTGCATTTATTTAATTTTTGGCATTATCAGTTGTGACAGGAATATTAGTACTGGGCCTTTGTCTTCCATTCTACCGCTGCTTGTGTCAGTCCCTGCGCTGTGTGACTGTCGTAGAGGGGGCGTGTCTGCAGCGCCAGACTTTTCATCTCCCAGTCTGCGGTGATGAAGTTCTCCGTTCCGCTCATGGATCTATTATAGGTTCCGCGAGACGTCCAAGCGTCAGTCGTGAGCGCAGCTGAGGATGCGGAGAGTTGACTTTTGCCCGGTCTGACTGTGCGTAAAGGACGCGGGGCTTTCAAGCTCCTCCATTCCTCTGCTCGCCGTGACCGTGCTGTGTGTGGACTGAACAACGTGCACACAACTTTTTTTTCATAAATCAAACCGCGGATCACGTTGAACCGAACGGATCACAGATCATTGGGCGGCAGTAGCTCAGTTGGTTGGGCTTTGAGCCAGAAGGTCGTGGGTTCAAGCCCCGCTCAAGACTTTCACCATCGACTCCCACTGACTACTGTCGTTGTGTCCTTGGCAAGACACTTAACCTCTGGGAACACCAGCCACAGTGGGGCGGCTGCGGCTGTAAAGTGCCAAACTGTCGTTGTGTCCTTAGGCAAGACACTTCACCCCCATTGCCTAGAATGAGTCTGGTGTGTGTATGAATGGTTGGTGGTGGTCGGAGGGGCCGATGGCGCATACTGGTTGCCTCGCTTCTGTCAGTGTGCCCCAGGGCAGCTGTGGCTACAGTAGTAGTTTATCACCACCGTGTATGGAGTGAATGAATAATGACACATGTGAAGCGTCTTTGAGTGTCCAAGAAAGCGCTATATAAAACCGATGCATTATTATTTATTATTATTGATGAACCGTTGCACCTCTACTATCGACTGAACCCATGATTCCACATCCGCTGTCTTTGCTCCAACCATCACAGCAGTCCAGGCCCCTCTGTAGTGAAAGACACCTGCACCACATGCTCTGTCTGAGCTCCATTGCAGATCTATGGAAGATTTTTTGTGTCATCAGATTTAGAATTTTTGTTAGCTTGAATTTTTCCATTTGAAATTTTTAACCCTGAAAAAGCATGTTTGAATATTTTTTTCTTTACATTTCAGTCACTAAAAATTCAGTTTACAAATTTCAATGTTATTAAAATTTCAAAATGACATATTCACCTTCAAAATATTCATTTTTATTTTTTTCAATGAAAAAAAAAGACGGATTATTTGTTCCATCAGAAATTGAATTTTAAATGGACCTCAATTCATCTATTTGAACATCTTGAATATTTTTTTCTGTGAATTTCAGTCACTGATTGTCAATTTCATAATGTTAAATTCAATAGTCAAAATTCAACGAGAAAAAATTCAATGGTGAAAAATGCACATGACACATCCGGTGTTCTGACAAGTTGTGTGCTCTGTCAGTTGGTCTGCGCATAATGAACTCTGAGAATGTTTTCTCTTCACTGACGCTGGAATCTCTCGTTATCTACATCAGACCCTTTAGAACTGATGGAGATTTTGTTAACTTAGAATATTTACGTTACCGTCACTTTAAGAAAGAGAGAGAGAGAGAGAGAGAGAGAGAGAGAGGTTTTTCTTTGTTTACGGAGCGAGTGGAGCCGAAAGAGCACCGAACTTTTCACAGCTCAAGAAATAAGGAGCCATACGGGGTTCTTACCGTTGTTACTTTATTTCAGAGACAACTCAGCAAATATCATTTAGTGTACAAGAGTTCGAGCTGTGGAATACATGTTTTTTGTTAATTCCTTTACATGGAGCTCTTTTTCAGGTAACACGAGTGAGCCCTGTGGAAACTGCTACACGGGAAACTAGACCCAAATACTGTGAAACGTTACCAACAATAACACTGTCCTTTGTTGCTATAAATGTTCAAATGTGATGGTTTTCATGAACACAAACAAACACACACAGCCTAAATAAATAAACAGGAATATACAGCAATAATGATTTGAAACGAGCACATTTACCCAAAATGTTCAAAAGACTATCTCATCAAATTAATGAAGTATAGTCTTGTTATTCGCCTTGGTTTCATTTCAATCCATTCATATCAACCTGTTAGATTCATGTTATCAACCGATAGACCTGCTGAAAGCTAGCGCCTGTCTTTACCTCAGTAAAATGACGCATGCGCAGACCAACTGACAGACCAACTGACAGAGCACACAACTGGTCAGAACACCGGATGTGTCATGTGCATTTTTCACCATTGAATTTTTTCTCGTTGAATTTTGACTGTTGAATTAATAATCAGTGACTGAAATTCACAGAAAAAAATATTCAAGATATTAAAAACATTCAAATAGATGAATTCAGGTCCATTTAAAATTCAATTTCTGATGGAAAAAATAATCCGTCTTTTTTTTTTTCATTGAAAAAATGTTTTTGAATATTTTGAAGGTGAATATGTCATTTTGAAATTTTAATAACATTGACATTTGTAAACTCGATTTTTTGTGATTGAAATGCAAAGATAAAAATATTCAAACATGCTTTTTCAGGGTTAAAAATTTCAAATGGAAACATTCAAGCTAAAAAAAAATTCTAAATCTGATGACACAAAAAATTTTCCATACAGATCCACCACTCCAATATCCTCCGAAAGTGTCATGCACATGGGATAAGAGCTGCTCCGCCTACAAACTCAGCGGAGGATGTGGGGTCACGGCACAGTTATTGGTCTGGAGAACTCGGTCCACTTCAGAAGCAAATGCACCAGTCCTCATGGCACCACTGATCTGTTTAAAAGTGACTATTATGACGAGCTGACCAGGGTTTGCATCTCTGCGAATGAAGTGCATTTAGCCAAAAGTATCCCAAAGTCTTCTTTAATTAGACCAAGTGTGAACACAGCCTTAGACAGCATCGACCAGTTCATCCACTGTGGCTGAAGTATAAATCTCTGCAAGGCCACAATCGTTTTGGGCAATATTATTTCCTTTCATTGTTAGCGTATAGGCGTAATAATCGGCTGTATAACCACAATGTTTTTTGTTTGAATGTATTGCATCCTATTTCTCTCCCATAAGGCTTGCTTTGTTCTCGCCATGCTAATCACAATTGACTCTAAGCCACTTATCTCTAGCAGTATAGGAAACAGTTTGCTATACCATTGATTCTAACTTTCTTTCAGAGCACAGACCAGTTCAAAGTAGGCTACACACAGTCAAAGATTACTGTTGTGCATCCCCGTATCTCTTACATTTGACTGCTTTTAAATTATTGCCTTTTTCCATCCATTTGAACACAGCATCAGATAGCAGCCCGAGCATGAAGGCACACGAGAAAGAGATTTCCTTTGTATCGGCCCTCATTTGTTTGTGCAGCGATGTGTTGTGGAGCCCAGACAATGGTTACAGTGGGAAGAGCAGGAAAGCGGAGAGAGCCCGGGAATAAAGAGGGATCTTGGTTGAATGAAAGCAGAAAACAAGTGTCTCTGATGCTTTGATGATTCCGAGGGAGGCTGCCACGTTCTGATGAATATTTAACAGGAAGATAACATTTAAGACGCCATTAATTAAAATTAAACGTCTAAAACATTGATTAGGGGAGAGAGATTGCCCGTAGACCAATAAATAAATGATTCCTTTGTTCTGCACAATGGCCATTTTAGGGGGTAAACACTAAAGTGAACATTTACTATAGCAAAGTTAGCCATTAAGTTTGGTGAAATGCATGAAATCAAATATGGAAAAATATATGTATCAGTGTGTACATGTATTTTCTAAATGTATCTAATTCATTTCAAAAGTTAGGGCAAACTTAAAAACATTATTCCAAGTTTATACTTATGCCAAACTCTATATTTTACATAATGGCACCAATAAACATGTCTTAACCCTTTAATGGTTTCCTTAACCATAAGCTAGATCACCTTTTGAGTCACTATATCTACTTTAAGCATGCTTGGAATGGAAATTTGCATCTCACTTGGTTGCACTTCAACTATTTGGTAAAGACCTATAATTAAAGAAACAAAACAAAAAAACGTAAAACACATTATTTGTGTTCTTAGTATCCTGCATCTTTGAAAAATCCCACAATGAAAAAAATAATACATTGCTTTCGTCAAGGAGCGAACAGTAAATGGTTAAATGACGCCTGGATATCGCTCTTGTTTACTGTACCTGCACGACTGTTGTGTCATTAGTGTATATTTGCATTGGCTCATATACACAAATTAAAGCAGCGTTTCTAAGTCAGTTACAAATGACTGGCCTGAGGTTGTTGTACGAAACCCTCTTGATTTACTCTCTGTAACTAACAGATTCTTCGCCATCCGTCGCATGAGCAGCTGCAGTACAGAGCAGTAAACATATTTATCTGCCTCACACTGCCGCATCTTTGCCGGTGGGCAGCTGAAATATGCACACTTTGTTACCTCTGTGCTGTATATGTTTCTGTATGTTTGGCCCCAGGCTCTGCTCCTGTTGTCTGTTTGGTTTTGCTGTGACTTAATTTCGCATGTTTGAGCGGAGACGCGTGTAGTATGTGTATGTGTGTGGATGTGTGCGTGAATGGCCGTTCGTCACCTGTGATCGCAGCAGGTGTGCCGCGCTCTGCAGAGGCGCTGATGCACTGTGGCACGGCCGTTTAGCAGCACACTTCTGCAGCCCCCGCCTAATGCACCCGCCTGACAGCTGCAGCCACTGCTCGTGCTTGTTATCGGGGGAAAAAAATGACTAAAGTTGAAACGACAAACACGTGAGAATACAAACATCGCAAAAGGGTATCCATTGTTACATAATCTAGAGTTCAAATTTGCTTCAATTCAAGATAAGATGAACTTTATTGATCTCACAATGGAGATATGTACATGTCACATTTGACATAGATAGAGTGTGCAAAAAGACAGGAAGTGTGCAACATGTTTTTCCTCGGCGATGAAAGAGGGTCTAAGCACATGGATGGTGATGATCTGACATTTGTTAACATTTATGGACATCCGCTCCCTATGGACCAATAGATCCTATGTGTTGGATGTTATTGGATATCCTGTGTTCGAACTGTTTGATTCTCTGATCTGTCGTTGAGGACTTGACAACTTTCTGAAGTCATCCGAGACCGCACTGCTGTTGTGATTTAGGGCTATGTAAAAATAAATTGAATTTAGTCAACCGTCTTTTAGTCTGTGAGGTTCAGTTGCAGAGATAAGAATGAGGTGAGATACCGTAAGTTTTGATGATTATCTTTTCTTCTGCATACACATTGGTATTTCGCTATTGAATGACACCTGTCAGCAGTCTTAGTAGTACAGTGTTTCAATAATATGCTTTGTACCCAAGTGTGTATCCTAATCTGCCATATTTTTGACATTATTATTTGTTTACAGTTGTCATATCAGACATTTGGTTGCTCTATCTTTAGCTTAAAGCTGCACTAACTGACTTTGGGATTTTGAAGCCGTGGACTCGCTGGCCTCTCTCTTTCTGCTCCCCTCCCCGCACCCACGAAGCTATCGCCCCCCACACACACTCACTGTTGGGACGGAGCTAGCGTCTCCCAATATGGATAAATACATGGACATGGATTTGCACGTGGATGGCGTGACCATAGAACGATAGAACCGGGAAGCGCGGAGAAACGGGACTTTCTTTTGGATGGCTGTCTCGCTGTGTACGCAGTAACCGGTGACGAAGACGAAGTTTCAGGTTAGCTCCTTGGCTTGTTGTGCTAACTTAGCCGTCTATGCTAACAGGGACCTGCAGATTTCTCACGAAAGTGGGGGCTAGTGGTCCACTGTGATTGGTCACAATCTGCGACCCGAAACACATTCTCTTCCTTGTTTCATCAAAACTCGATCTAAAATATAATGTCACGCCAGCACAAACCTGCGCTACTTTTTCCTCAAAATGACGTTTATCCCAATGCACTACATGGACATAGCATTTTCGTATTGAATACAAAAATAAAGTCAGTTAGTGCAGCTTTAATACAAACCACTATGTACTGCATGTCCACCACCTGTATGTTCTGTAAGGTATTTATTCAACAGCTCAATATATCTTCTCTGAGACTTTTACGCCCTGGTGTTCTTTTAAAAGCACACCCCAGATGCTGTATATGTTAAAATAGATAGATAGATAGATAGATGGATACTTTATTGATCCCCGTCGGAGAAATTCAAGTGTCCAGTAGCAGCACACAAAAAAAATAAAAAATTGATAATTCAAAAAAGCTAACAGTAGTAATAATCAGCAACAGCCTTTCAGGTCACAGCAGCAGAGGTGGAGTAGACTCTGGGTGGAGCAGGACGGGTCACAAGGTGGAGTAGCCGCTTGGTTCGGAGCATTTTTTCTGCTCTAGTTCAAAGTAAAATGCTAAATGTTTAAATAGCATTTTTCAAAAAGTTAGCATTCTTCCAGTGGATTTTCACCTGATCCACTTGGTTTGGACCATGAATCCTCTCTACTCCGGTCTGGACCAGTGCCAAACCATGAACACTGTACTGCAGCAAAATCTTAGGTAGAAAAAAGCAAGAAAAATAACATTTATAAAACACAAAACAACTGTTTCAGAGCTACTTAGGACCTGCTGCCGTTTTCCAGCGCATTCAAAAGAGTCACGTAATGTAGATTAAACATCAAAGCCGAAAGGGAGATTTTGTGAACACAGTGAAATGTATATACACAGAGGGCCCTTCAGCATTAGTGAGCCATTTCTTAAGCATTACTTGTACTACAGGAGTTCCAGCGAGGCTCTTGAATCTTTTATCTACAGAATTGATTTTTATTTGGTCAATTTGACAGTTGCGCTAGTGGGAAGGCCATAAGAGCTCTCACAGATAATCAGCTAAATGAACACTGGCACCATACAAGCATTACGGCAAAATGCACTCATTTTTCATGTGTGATTTTCTCAGCGATAATTGAAAAGTGGATGTTAACGTGATCACACAAGTATTGGTATTTTGTTCCTTTTTGAATATGCTTCTTAAACGTCGTGCATGCTTGAGTTGATACTTTGTAATGAGTTCTTAGCTCTGTGGATTATTCAGAGAGACAAACAAACTGTTCTGTGTATTAATGTTTTTGATAGATAATGTGGATATGATTCATTTCGGTTACACGTTAGGGCAGCAAGACATTGTTGTAGATTGCAATTTGTAATTCAAATTCTAAGCATCTTAGCAAATAATAACCAGGAGTTTATAGTCTGTTGAGATTAGGGCTGTAACAAGTTCATTGATTTGTGATTTGCCAACTTATTTAGTAATCGATGAATCATTTAAACATGGTGAGATGAGATTTTGACTGCAGAATTAAATGCATTGGTTTAACAGTACTTGCTGGACTCTATGGTGCTCCTTTATGCAAACTGCTCTAGTTTGATTTTTTTTTTTAAAAGGTACTTTTTGTAATCATATAGGCCACAATTGAATATAAGCCGCAGGTTTTAGACAACTGGACACTGGACATTAGTCTAACTGGACACAACATGATTCAGATATATAGGTGTTTTAAGGCCCTGTTAACTTGCTTGTGAAAAGCTTGGTGAATAATGCAACAAACTCTGGAAAGGATTCTCTACTACAATAAGAATACACACATTGGGCACATCTCTGTATAGGCCACAGGAAGTAGCGGCTTATAATTCGGCAATTACGGACAAAGATTTAATCAACAACCCATATTCATGGTGTTCTTCAAAGGTATCAATTGAGCTTTGTTATGATCAATTGTAGAAAAATATACATAATATATACATAAATACTGTATTTACTGGCCTTGGGGATCTAAAAAAAAATTTATAAACGGAACGAATAATCAACCCACAAAATGGTGTATCAAAATAATTGTTAATTACAGTAGTAGTTCTTTCCATTATTGGGTGAAAACAATATTGCATGACTATAATATTGGTTAATTGTTCAGTGCTACTTTAAAACATACATAGATATAACTAGTGGAAGAGTAAAGAGCCCCTCAATGTCCTACAACACATTTTTCACTAATTTGTAACCATCGCTTTTAAATGATAAAGTATTACACTGAGGGACATCCCAGTTAATAGGCCTCAAGTCGTTGAAACATGAAAGACCGATTAAGGTTATTGCTTGCCATTTAAACTCCAAAAGAGTGTGTAACATATATTTAAACTACTGTACGTTTCAGATCATCACATTCTTCGGGGGAGAGGTGTACACCAATGAGGAGAACAGGCGTCTGTCCTTAGCAGGGGACTATCTGGGAGGAGACGCCTCTCTGCTCATCAGTGACCTGCTGCTGGCCGACTCTGGAGAGTACTACTGTAAAGTCAAGACTGCCGGGAACTACCACTGGAGCCAAGTCAACCTCATTGTACTGGGTGAGCCTCATTTACACTTTATGAGGACAATGTTAAATAGTTCAATATGATTAGCCTTAGCCTGAACCAATCTGGGGAGTCTTAATATCAAAGGTATAAGGAGGATTTTCTATTTCCGGTTGGATCATCAAGACTATTGTTCCTCCTAATTGTCAATCATTCTGGTGATTTGTGCTCGTCAAATAAGACCAGGGAGTTTTGTTCAATAGGAGAAGAGGTTCTTTCCTAAAATTCGGGAATATCCTCTTATATACCTTTTACTAGCAGACTGAGATGGTGCTTTCATCTCAATCCAGGGAGTTACAACATGTGCTTTGTGGATCTGGAGAAGGCATTCGGCCGTGTTCCTGGGGTGTTTCTCAAGAGGTGCAGTGTCCAGGGTCCTTTGCTGATAGCTGTCAGGTCCATGTATGACTGGAGACAGAGCTGTGTTCGCATTGCCAGCAGTAAGTCAGACCTGTTCCCAATGTTAAGAGCTCTTCCCGACAAGGCTTCCCTATGAGGATTGGGAGGTCTGGGTGTCTCCTCCCAAACTACTGCATCTGGGACCAGGCGAAAGGATTAAGTGGAAGCATAAAGGTGTGTTCATACTTTGATACTATGAGGAAAAAATATTGAACTACCAAAATGACTTAAATCTTAATTTGAATGTATTTCACAATCAAAAAAATCTACGTATTCATGTATTTCAAAATGCATACACTAAATCATGTTGGTTAGAATGACAACATAAATAAATATATTGTAATTCTAACAACTTCTAACCACTATTTGTATTTTTGTCAAGCATGTCTCGTTTATTTTCCCTCCAACGTATTGACTTGAATTTGTTCATAAGCAATTGTCAAATCTCAAAAAAGTGTAAAAACAGGAAACTGGATTTGTTCAGATGACTCCTGTTACAAGCACACTAATAAGATAAGACATACTGTATGACTGTATCCATACCCTTGGCTTGGAAACACAGATATATGACATCACAGACTATTTATAAGATTGTGTTTTTGTTGAACTATGTTAATGTTTGCTTTTGCGTGCGTGCATAATGTGAGCCACACGCACTTTGACTAGGGCTCTAATCACTGCATCGTTACGCACATTTCCTCTGTCATGCTGACTGATCTAATGATTCGATTAGATTCAGACATTGTGATTTGGTTTCTGTCGTGCTGTTTGGGTCCTCTCTGATTGGTTTTGTTGATGAGGTGAGACCAGAAGCATTTGAGTGGGAACAACACAAATTCATGAAGTTGGAAGAAGTTCATGTTTCTGTGTTGCACGCACCGCTCTCTCATCAAAAAATACATATTATGTGTTTGGACTTTTAGAGGTTGCTATGAGTAAATCTGCAAATACTGCATTTATTCAAGCCTATTGCGGACAAGAAACTGATGAAACATGCTTGAATTAGGGAAATATTATGCTGATGTTAGTATTTTTTGAGTAAAATCAACAGTTCCTCTTAACGATTGTGTATTTGAGCTATAGTTTTCTTTTTAATATTTTAGGGAAATAGAAGAAAAAACATCTTATTTCTCACAACTTTCTATTACTTTATAAATGTGGTTTAAGCATTTTGTTCACAGTTAATCAATTTGTATTCATTTCAAACCTACAGAAATCCAGTTCTCTTTAAATGCCATTACAGGAGTGTGTTCCAATGTCCAGCAAGTGAGAGTATAAAAGTGTGTATGATTGAAAAAGTTTTCACCTTGACATTATTGACTTCTGATGTAGAATAAACCACTGTGTAAAGTTGTTAATCAAGAATCTTTGCGTTGCCTGTGTTAGAATTAACATGTATAGTTTACAGGTGAAACTCGGAAAATCAGAAAATTGTTCAAAAGTCCATTTACTGCATGGATTTTTTTTTCCAATTTACAATGTGAAACTAAAATGACAGACTCCAAACATGGAAGATGAGATATACCAAGCCTATATGTATTATGATGTTGATAATTATGATTTGCAGCTTGTAAAAACCCCAAATAAAAACCTCTCAGGAAATTAAAATATTTAGAAAATGGACTGACAGGCATAACGTTGTTGTTTTTATCCAGTTATTTTCTGCGCTTTTGATTTTAATCTGTTTCCTGGGGATGTGTGCAGTAAAAATGCGTATATATTATCTTCTTAATGATAACAAACAAAAGCTCGGCATACATCACTTTGCATGTGTAGGGTGAGAAAATGTCGATATCACACATAACTTAAGTTATGTACCTGATATCGGAGAATTGGATCAAAACAATCATGTAATAAATACAATAATTGATAATAGCTTTATTTAGGGGCTCCAGGGAATAACTCCCAACTGATAACGGGCATATGACGTCACAATATCAATTAATTGGCTCATTTATTGATTAAGTAATCTCATGAGTCCTTTCATTATTTAATTAGCTAATTAGTCCAATTCTCTTCAATAGAATCTGAAGGTAGTGAATTCTTTTACAAATCAGTGACCCAATTTCTGGAGTTAAAAGTACAAATATCACTTTCAGACAAAGATGGTTTTGTAGATTTAATGAAGTATACACAATACAGACTAGATATGAAATATGCAAATTGTCAAGAATAACATGAAGGAAACGTTGATTTCAAGATACATTGTTAAAATGCTAGGCTAAAGTGAGCTAAGCAAGACCTTAGCCTATACCAATCCATTCATAGACAAAGGCCTGCATGTGTTCAGCCTTGGTAGGAGAAGTATTCTTTGAAGTATAGGTTTTAATAAAGCCAACAACTGTGTGTAGTAAGAGAGCAGATCATACAACCAGAATAGCCTTTGGTGAATAGCAGTCCTTGGGTCTTGATGGTGTTGGATGGAGGCTTCTTGTCCACGGGGCCTGGACCATGCGGCTGCATCATGTGGCTGAACCAAGTCCTCCCACGATCCACAGTCTAGGTGCCAAAACTCAGCAACTTCTTCAGGTTGAAGCTGGAGGCTATTGAAGGGTTGTGGAAGTCCTCTCAGACGTGGAGCTGAGGTTTGAGGCCATCTAAGAGGCCCAAAGCCCCTTGGTTGCCTGAGCAGAGCCCAGGGCAGAGCCCAGGGAGGTCTGGTCACTCCGTGGTTCCAAAGCAGACTGGTTTGTCTTCCCTGTGGGTCCTTGTAAATCTTCACATCTGGTAGAGTCGTTGGGGGAAGGGTGTTGCCATGGCACTTATCTCAAGACATTCTTACCCACAATAAAACCTGAACCACAAGGATTTACACACAGTGGAGACAGAAGTTATAATATGTCTCAATATACAACAAAATGTCTTTGATTGAGGAAAGAGGTCATTTTAATTTATCCTACACATGCAATAAGTCTATCATTACAGAATTACAAAAATAAATGAACTTTTGAAGAATATTCTAATTCCAGAGTATCACCCATATTAGTTCATGTACAGTTGTGTGTAGGATTGTGTTTATATATAGCACAGATTTGTACTAGTTTTGCTGACTTTTGTCACTGAGTCTAGACATCACATTAACGGACCTGCGTCGAGGACAAAGCAGAGAGCCGACTGTTCTCGAATCTCAATGAGTGCACGGTATAGAGTCCATTAAAGACTGTAGGACTGCACGACCTGGGAGAAGGGTTTGGATCTGGACACTTCAGATCAGCTAATACCATGGAGCCCTACTTCCTGGTACCTTTTCAAATCAAACGTACTTGGGAACGACATTGAAAATCTGTCAACTACATTAGCCAGGGGGATAAGCTACTTAGACTGTGCATTCATATTCAAAGCAAATTCTTGTTACACTTTTGGTCCCTGCAATGTCATCGCTACAAAATACTGGATTTTTTGTCTTTGGGTGGTGATTATGGCTTAGTTTTTTTTTTCTTTTTTTTTCATTTTTATTATTATTATGCATGTCTCCATCCCACAGACTATGAAGGACGGACTGTCAAAGAGCAAATGATAAATATGGTGTTGAAGTCTGGTGGGTGGAGCTTCATCATGTCAGTGTCATAAAAGCAGGCGATTAAAACATCATGGAAGATTAGTCCGACCCAGAGTTATTGGTTTTCTAATAGAACAGTCTGTTAATCCTATGGTCTTCTCGCTCATCCATAAAGACATTTTCTCTGATTTAGTGGCTGCATTTTTACAAATTGCCCTCAGCTTTGTGGTGACACTTTCGATTTTTGAGAGCGAAGAATATTAGCATTATTTTTTTTTCTTTGCACACTCCCCACGCTCGGATAATAGCTTGGCAGCCAAACTGGTCTGGCACAAGATGCAGTGTACTGTATTTGTTTTCATGCCAAGGACTGCAAGCATATGAGACATGTTTGTGTGTTACTTTATGCATTTCATCTCCTGTTTATCCTAACAGCATTATGCCACATATAGAATCACACAATGTGGAATTGACCGAATTAGAGCTTTGTTTTATTGAGGTTTTCCTAATCTTGTTATAATAATGAATGATAGTTGATGAATTAAATGTATTGTTAATTTCCATGCATATTTTCCTTACAGCTACAGGGACGCTGAGTTGTGATTTTGGTTTAGTGGTGTAGTGGTAGTGATAGTCAGAATAGTCAAGAGTTAATAGAATTTTTAAATTGGATTTGCTTCTAAATGTCGGCACAGAAATACATTTGTGGTTGTAATAACAGTTCATGCAAGTAATTGTACTGTAGTACACTGAATTATTCATTTTCTTTCTTTCATCATATGATTGCACGTGGTTAAAACAAGTACACTGTAGATGTGAACAAGCTGAGTGAAGAAAAATCTTCTATCTTTATATATGTGTTTTGCACATAAACCTACGCATCTCTCTAATTAGAACATAGATCTGACAAAGTCGCTTAAGTGGTAAGTTTCTCTACACACAGTGTAAATATGCTTTTAGATGTATGTCACTGTTGTTGTAAAGAGGGAGTTGAGTTAAAAGGCAAAGCTCAAATCTTGTGTATTTGTTCAATTCCACAATAATAGGAGTGATATTTCACTAAACTGAAGTCTAAACTGTTACGCTATTATATTCTCTCTTTACACTGTGTATGTACACTTTTAGTAAATTATATTCATTCAATTCTGTGTATCAACGTTTCTATTTCCCATTAAAATGTGATATTTTCCTTTATTTGTCTGTGTCGTGAGTGATAGCAGGCAGGAGAACAGCATGCACCAGCTATATGTTCTGTGCCTGGAGCTACTGGACTCTGACCAAAACCTTTGCCCTGTTCAGAGCATATCACCAGCAGCATCCACAGCCAGCTTTGAGGTCACATTGATCCATTCCCTATGGGAGCTCTGTCCCGTGCCACTGTCAGCGGCACGAGGAGAGACTGCTGCAAGCAATGCTTTCACTCATCACAGCCTTGTGTAGTGAAAGCAAGCTATTATGTGTTTACAATCCTCATACAACTGTGTGAGAAACCATATGGCTATTACATTATAGAAAATACCACTCCACTCAGATGTTTTTGATAAGGTGTTTTTGTATAAACAGATACGAAGGCATTTATCTTACGAAAGAACAAAAAGTGCTGTTAGCTAGAAAAAAATATTTTGAGCATCTGAACTATTTTAAGTTGTATCGCCATGCTCTTTGGTCCATGTATATAAAAATGAACTCGTATTTTACAGAGAAACCTTCAAAGCCTGAATGCAGGAGAGATGGCAAACTGTCAGAGGGCAGTGACGTCAAACTGAGCTGTAAATCCAGCGACGGATCAGAGCCCATCAGCTACAAGTGGGAGCGAGTTCTGGACAATGGCAAGAGTCTGGGAAAGCTGCCAAACCTGGCTCTGATAGGTAAGCAAAACTAATGTCTGTGCACTACATGCTGATTCACCATTCAAACGGCAGCACCAAGATTTATTACACTGGAGAGTTTTTTAGAGGCTGTATTTGTCTGACAAATGATTTTACTAGGCTTTCTTTACTTTTGCATAATTTTCCAAACACTATCTCTCCCCAGTACAGCTGGTCCCGGAGCTGCTTTACTTGGATAATTAGTTACAATGCCTTCCTAAAGGGCACAAACACAGACTTTTAATGTCCCAATTAGACCCAATTTTGCATGCTTCCCTTATCTTCATCACATTTAGGCAGCAAACCCATCACAAACATAACACCCAAAGATGACGCTCTCCACAGACCTGAATAATGCAATTTTATGTTTTAAGTTTTCCAGAAGTCACTTTACTTCACTGTACTGCTGTCACCTTACATTGTGTGCACCATGTGCACTTGTATATTGTAAAAAGTAACTGTAACTCTATTTTAAATTTAAATGTATTCTTTAGAAGTGTTTTTTATTCTTATTTTTATTATCTCTTTCTGACTGTTGCACTGAGCCAAAGCAATTTCCAAGTCTGTGACCTCCTGTTACTTACGTGGCAATAAAAATGATTCTGATTCTGATTCTGAGAATGACACAAATGTGAGAAAAGCTGAAAATACAACAAAAAAAGTTGAATCAATATGTTTTGTTTAATTATAGAGTGGACATCAGAGAGAGTACAAATTCATGCATCACAGATTACTAAAGCTGAAAACTGTTGTGAAAAGCAGAATTTTGTAATATTGACATACAGTATTTCAGGGATTCACACTAATCTTTGCCCTTTCTGTCCTCATGTTCAACGACAATAGACTTTGTCAACTCAATACAGTATTGTCATTGCATGAGGAGAGTTGATCATATCTCAAAATGACATACAGTACAATATAAATCTGAAATGGAGTGGTGTCTCATTGTTACTCAGAACATGTGCGTTCCGTTGCCCTGAGGCAGGCTTCATTCGCACACTGTGAATCCTGGCATTTTTCTTGGATCAGAGCGGCCATTGGGACACAGTTGTAACTATGAGACAAGTTTGTATCATGGTAAACAGCACAAACCACCCCAGCCGATGTATCTCTGTCTCCTGTTCACACTTAATCCGCAGTGGCATGAGCTCAGACCGAAATTCAATTTAATGACCTCAACCAAACAACACCTGTTCGGTTTAATTGGTTTTCATTGGACGATCACCCACAACATCCGCTCACATTATTCACAGGCCTGCTGAAAGGAAATATAATATGTTTATCTGCCGTGAGATTGATTACAGATCCGTCAAAGGTGCACTGTCAGACTTATTTGTGCACATTCCATTGCTTTGGCTATTGCTGCCTATGAGCACTCATTACCAGATACATGCATTTATTACTTCTGATGAATTGCTTTTGTAGTGGTAAATATTATGGAATTATTCATAATGAAAAATGCAACGGAATATTTATATTGTGGTTACATTTTTTGAACAATGTTATGTTCACAATATTCAAGCAGATTATCCATTCAGAAAGCCTATTTGGGTTGCCAGTTTGTTTGGTGAAATTTAACTAGTTTTGTCTTTGGATGGCACAAAAAAAGCACTACATATTCATCCAAATGAAAGCAGGAAACAAAATGAATAGTCATACATAAAATTCTGTTCTTGGGCGCTACATGTGTTATAGACAGGATGGTTCGGGCAACACAAGTCGGGTTGTAATTATAATGACTTCACTAAGAGAGCATATTACATTCAATGCCTTCAATTTTTATTATTTTTGCTACTTTTCTAGAGCCTCTGTTTATATTTTTATATTTTGTCCATTAGGGGAAAAAAACTTTGCCAATGATGTCATTGAAATAATGCAACTCAAAATTCCCTCCAGATCTGAAAAATCCAGAGATTGTCACCTTGAGAAACCTGACCATGGATAGCACAGGTGTGTACAGGTGCACCGCCAGCAATGACGTGGGCGAGGAGAACTGCACCGTGGAGGTCCCCATGCAGCGTGAGTCTGAGCGGGGGAGAGAGGGGAGGGAGGGAGGGAGGGTTGACCTTGCTGTAGTCACCTCATACGCACTGACACGCTGATTGATGGTTATTGTTTCAAATTCCAGCTGGAAATACATTTATTCTGCTTCTGTTTCGTTTAAACACCATGGGACTGCACCAAACTGTGGAGCAGAGGTGGCGACCAGTGTCCAACGCTTTATGTTTCGCTGATTCACAAACACATTTATGGTTGGTCCAGAGCAATGTGATGGGGAAGGCGGAATATGACACATTTGGGGATTATAGATGGAGCTTTGAGCCCCAGGTCTCAAGAATATACACGTGACAATTAGTTCAAAAGTGAAGCTTGAAGCGAAAATTCAGACTGAGAAGACCTCATGCCGCTCATACAGGGCCAGCCTCGCCAGCCCCAGCAATCACACGGCTCTGCCAGCCTCGAGCCTCAGCCAATCACACAGCTCTGCCAGCCTTGAGCCTCAGCCAATCACACAGCTCTGCCAGCCTTGAGCCTCAGCCAATCACACAGCTCTGTCAGCCTCGAGCCTCAGCCAATCACACAGCTCCGCAGCCTCGAGCCTCAGCCAATCACACAGCTCGACCAGCCCACCTGCCAACCACTGACAGCAAAGCGCGCAGTTCAAAAGCAGCCACTTCCTACAGACCAGCGCTTTGAAGCTCTTGCAACCCACCGCCTCCCCAGCACCTCCTCAGGCTCCTGCTCTGGCTCCTGCTCTCTATATCTCAAGCATTTGTACTAATTTTGATGATTATGGCTTACGATCCATTTTCAAAATATTCTAGTTTTGTGAGATTTGTGTGGTTCTTACAAGCTGTGAGCCAAAATTATAATAATAGTTTCACATTGTAAGTTTAATTTCAGAAGTTTTATAGATGTTGTGTTTATGTGTTCTTGTTCAGTTCAATTTTAGTTTTAAAAAGTTATTATTGCACACCACTTCTGGTCTCACATCCTAAAAAAGTCTCTTTGTGTTTGTCTGCACAGATGTGAGAGACATGGGGATGGTGGCCGGTGCAGTGGTGGGGATATCCCTGGGTGTCCTCATTGTCATTTTAATCATTTGGCTCGTCTTTCGGAAAAAGGAGAAAAAGAAGTATGAAGAGGAAGAGACTCCAAATGAAATCCGGTAAGTTTTACAGTTACATAATGCTATGATGGCCACACACAGTTCAGGAGCAAATGTTTTGAAATTGGAGATATAAAGCCTTTACCACACCACATGTTGGATAATTCTATGGTGTTTTCTGTGAATGATAATACAGCCCAAGTGCACATCTCAGCTGTCACGAGTCTGGAGCGGCCTGCACCTGCGGGTGGGAGGCCTGCGCCCTGGGGAGAGGCTAATCACAAGCCTTTGTTTAAAGTGCACACAGAGAGACACTTCAGGTTTAACTTTAGAGTCACTTTCTGCCTTTGCCATTTTGAAACTTAAACTTCAAAGTTTGAGTGATGTGAAGTGCCCCACTGTTTTCTTAGATGACATCTTGCATCAGCCTTATACAGAGTTAATCACATCAGCAAAACAACATTCTCAGAGCGGCTGTGGTGTAGGAGCTAGTAATTACTGATGCCTATGAATAATGCAGGAAGGGACAGATACAAGTGAATATTGTAAATAGGGGTTTGATTGCACTGAGGTGTAAAAGGCAGTTATATTTAGGCCGAGCCAATACTTTGTATTGGGGAGGCCTATTGTTATTCACCGGTTTCATATTATTAGGCCGAGCCAATACGAAGTATTGGGGAGGCCTATTGTTATTCACCGGTTTCATATTATTATTAGGCCGAGCCAATACGAAGTATTGGGGAGGCCTATTGTTATTCACCGGTTTCATATTATTATTATTAGGCCGAGCCAATACGAAGTATTGGGGAGGCCTATTGTTATTCACCGGTTTCATATTATTAGGCCGAGCCAATACGAAGTATTGGGGAGGCCTATTGTTATTCACCGGTTTCATATTATTATTATTATTCTTTTTTTTCCGCATCTTCAATTCGATTTTTGACCCTGAAGACATGCACGAAAGTCTGCACATGGGGGGTCTAAAACGACCGGTCCGGCGAAAAATTTGATAAAACGGACGTTTCGAGATTGTCCGACAAAAGGCGAATCAATAGCGCCCCCTAGAAAATTCAAAATTTTCCATTTCTATTGGAGGCAGGATTGCATATTTTGGAGTAGGTACACGAAATTCGGCTGAGTGATAGATCTCTATGAGACGAGCATAAAAGCCGGTCTAAGCACATGTCTGGGACCAACAGGAAGTCGGCCATGATGGGCCAAAGTTTCGCCACTAATTTGACTTTTCATTTATAAATTCGAACTAGTCCCTGGTTTTTCATCACACACAGCTCTACCACGTCATTTCCTAATCTGGACGGATTGAAGTTATATAATCATCAAACAAAAGTTAGAAAATCTTCCCCGTTTTCGTCCCTCGCCATGGCGAATTAGGCCTTCGTTTTGGCCATTTTCGCTGAGCCCTGAGGGCCACAGGCTCAGACCTACAGAGCTGAGACTCACATCAGTAATATTAGGTTATGGCCTGAACGCAATGACACTAAAATCATTCGCCCAATTTGAGCTCTTTAGCGCCACCTGTCGGAAAGTAATAGGGCACTAGTGCTCGGATCGGCCCGAAAATCGCTGAGTGTATTCTCTGGACCGAGACGAGCAAAACATTACATTACGCAAAAGTTGTACGTCCCACACCTGACCACATGGGGGCGCCGGAAAGTGAATGAATGAGCTTTTTGGGGCAAAATGTTTGTCCGATGAGGCTAAAAATGAATTCAGTAATACAGCGTATGACCCTGAACACAACGATATGCAACACACAACTGTGAGTGCAACAGCGCCACCTACAGGCAGTTCAAGGTGTCGCATTTTTGGCTTCGTACTAGTCCCTGGATTTTCATCGCACAGACTTCTACCATGTCATTTCTCCATCTTGACGGATTGAAGTTATGCAATCATCGCATAAAAGTTTGAATTTTGTTATCGTTTTCATGCGAGGTAGTGGGGAATTTCTCCATGTTTGATGCTCTCCTGACCACGGGCTAAGACCTACAGAGCTGAAACTCACATCACTAACAGTTGGTAATGACCTGAGAGTAATGGTGTGAAAACACACACCTAATATGACTCTACAGCGCCACCTATGGAAGGCTTCTGACCTAAACTTTTCTGATCTTCACCAAAGTTGCAAAATCAAATCTTTACATCTGTACGAGCAAAATACTACTCTACGTAGAGGGTGCATGTCCCGGAGGTGACCACTAGGGACGCACTTTATCATATAAATGAGCTTTTATATACGTAATCCTGGTCAGATCGGGCTGCCAATTCGTCGCCGTGACGCTTGTGGGACTGGCGCCCGGGAGGCGGTCGCAAGAGGGGCGAGGCCTTTCATCGCCGCTTGCGGCTTTAATTAGGCCGAGCCAATACGAAGTATTGGGGAGGCCTATTGTTATTCACCGGTTTCATATTATTATTCTTTTTCTTTTTCCGCAACTTCAATTCGATTTTTGACCCTGAAGACATGCACGAAAGTCTGCACATGGGGGGTCTAAAACGACCGGTTCGGCGAAAAATTTGATAAAACGGACGTTTCGAGATTGTCCGACAAAAGGCGAATCAATAGCGCCCCCTTGAAAATTCAAAATTTGCCATTTCTATTGGAGGCAGGATTGCATATTTTGGAGTAGGTGCACGAAATTCGGATGAGTGATAGATCTCTATGAGACGAGCATAAAAGCTGGTCTAAGCATATGTCTGGGACCAACAGGAAGTCGGCCATGATGGGCCAAAGTTTCGCCACTAATTTGACTTTTCATTTATAAATTCGAACTAGTCCCTGGTTTTTCATCACACAGAGTTCTACCACGTCATTTCCCGCTCTGGACGGATTGAAGTTATATAATCATCGAAAAAAAGTTAGAAAATCTGCACCGTTTTCGTCCCTCGCCATGGCGAATAAGGCCTTCGTTTTGGCCATTTTCGCTGAGCCCTGAGGGCCACAGGCTCAGACCTACAGAGCTGAGACTCACATCAGTAATATTAGGTTATGGCCTGAACGCAATGACACTAAAATCATTCGCCCAATTTGAGCTCTTTAGCGCCACCTGTCGGAAAGTAATAGGGCACTAGTGCTCGGATCGGCCCGAAAATCGCTGAGTGTATTCTCTGGACCGAGACGAGCAAAACATTACATTACGCAAAAGTTGTACGTCCCACACCTGACCACTGGGGGCGCCGTAAATTGAATAAATGAGCTTTTTTAGGGCAAAATGTTTATCCGATGAGGCTAAAAATGAATTCAGTAATACAGCGTATGACCCTGAACACAACGATATACAAACACACAACTGTGAGTGCAACAGCGCCACCTACAGGCAGTTCAAGGTGTCGCATGCATTTGGCTTCGTACTAGTCCCTGGATTTTCATCGCACAGACTTCTACCATGTCGTTTCTCCATCTGAACGGATTGAAGTTATGCAATCATCGCATAAAAGTTAGAATTTTGTTATCGTTTTCATGCGAGGTAGTGGGGAATTTCTCCATGTTTGATGCTCTCCTGACCACAGGCTCAGACCTACAGAGCTGAAACTCACATCGCTAACAGTTGGTAATGGCCTGAGTTTAATGGTGTGAAAACACACACCTAATATGACTCTACAGCGCCACCTATGTAAGGCTTCTGACCTAAACTTTTCCGATCTTCACCAAAGTTGCAAAATACTACTCTACGTAGAGGGTGCATGTCCCGGAGGTGACCACTAGGGACGCACTTTATCATATAAATGAGCTTTTATATACGTAATCCTGGTCAGATCGGGCTGCCAATTCCTCGGTGTGGTACGCTTGTGGGACTTGGCCGCCCAGGATGGGCGGTCGCGCAAGAGGGGGCGAGGCCCTTTCATCGCCAGCTTGCGGCTTTAATGAAAAATTGTTATTCGGTGGTTTTCATATTAATCTTTTTTCCCGCCGAAACAATTAGATTTTTGACCCCGAAGACATGCACGAAAGTCCTGCACATGGGGGGTCTAAAACGACCGGGTCCGGCGAAAAATTTGATAAAACGGACGTTTCGAGATTGTCCCCGACAAAAGGCGAATCAATAGCGCCACCCTTGAAAATTCCAAAATTTGCCATTTCTATTGGAGGCAGGATTGTCATTATTTTGGAGTAGGTGCACAAAATGTCGGATGAGTGATAGATCTCTATGAGACGAGCATAAAAGCCTGGTCTAAGCACATGTCTGGGACCAACCCAGGAAGTCGGAGGATGAGGATGGCCAAAGTTTCGCCACTAATTTAGACTTTTCATTTTATAAATTCGAACTAGTCCCTGGTTTTTTCATCTCACACAGAGTTCCTACCACGTCCATTTCCCGCTCTGGGCGGACTTGAAGTTATATAATCATCGAAAAAAAAGTTAGAAAATCTTCACCGTTTTCGTCCCTCGCCATAGCGGAATAAGGCCTTCGTTTTTGGCCATTTTCGCTGAGCCCTGAGGGCCACAGGCTGCAGACGACACTACAGAGCGTGAGACTCACATCAGTAATATTAGGTTATTGGCCTGAACGCAATGACACTACAAATCATTCGCCCAATTTGAGCTCTTTAGCGCCCACCTGTCGAGAAAGTAATAGGGCACTAGTCACTCCGGATAGCCCGAAAATTTTCATCGCACAGACTTCTACCATGTCGTTTCTCATCGGGACGGATTGAAGTTATGCAATCATCGCATAAAAGTTTAGAATTTTGTTATCGTTTTCATGCGAGGTAGTGGGGAATTTCTCCATGTTTGATGCTCTCCTGACCACAGGCTCAGACCTACAGAGCTGAAACTCACATCACTAACAGTTGGTAATGGCCTGAGAGTAATGGTGTGAAAACACACACCTAATATGACTCTACAGCGCCACCTATGGAAGGCTTCTGACCTAAACTTTTCCAATCTTCACCAAAGTTGCAAAATCAAATCTTTACATCTGCACGAGCAAAATACTACTCTACGTAGAGGGTGCATGTCCCGGAGGTGACCACTAGGGACGCACTTTATCATATAAATGAGCTTTTATATACGTAATCCTGGTCAGATCGGGCTGCCAATTCGTCGGCGTGACGCTTGTGGGACCGGCGCCCAGGAGGCGGTCGCAAGAGGGGCGAGGCCTTTCATCGCCGCTTGCGGCTTTAATTATTATTCTTATTTATTTTCCGCAACTTCAATTCGATTTTTGACCCTGAAGACATGCACGAAAGTCTGCACATGGGGGGTCTAAAACGACCGGTCCGGCGAAAAATTTGATAAAACGGACGTTTCCAGATTGTCCGACGCTCGCCGACTCTATAACGCCCCCTAGAAATTTCATTTTTTTTGACCCTCTGGGGATTTTTTTTTCAAATTTTGGAGTAGGTACACGAAATTCGGATGAGTGATAGATCTCTATGAGACGAGCATAAAAGCCGGTCTAAGCACATGTCTGGGACCAACAGGAAGTCGGCCATGATGGGCCAAAGTTTCGCCACTAATTTGACTTTTCATTTAGAAATTCGAACTAGTCCCTGGTTTTTCATCACACAGAGTTCTACCACGTCATTTCCTAATCTGGACGGATTGAAGTTATATAATCATCAAACAAAAGTTAGAAAATCTTCACCGTTTTCGTCCCTCGCCATGGCGAATAAGGCCTTCGTTTTGGCCATTTTCGCTGAGCCCTGAGGGCCACAAGCTCAGACCTACAGAGCTGAGACTCACATCAGTAATATTAGGTTATGGCCTGAACGCAATGACACTAAAATCATTCGCCCAATATGAGCTCTTTAGCGCCACCTGTCGGAAAGTAATAGGGCACTAGTGCTCGGATCGGCCCGAAAATCGCTGAGTGTATTTTCTGGACCGAGACGAGCAAAACATTACATTACGCAAAAGTTGTAAGTCCTACACCTGACCACTGGGGGCGCCGGAAAAATGAATGAAGGAGCTTTTTGGGGCAAAATGTTTGTCCGATGAGGCTAAAAATGAATTCAGTAATACAGCGTATGACCCTGAACACAACGATATACAACACACAACTGTGAGTGCAACAGCGCCACCTACAGGCAGTTCAATGTGTTGCATTTTTGGCTTCGTACTAGTCCCTGGATTTTCATCGCACAGACTTCTACCATGTCATTTCTCCATCTGGACCGATTGAAGTTATGCAATCATCGCATAAAAGTTAGAATTTTGTTATCGTTTTCATGCGAGGTAGTGGGGAATTTCTCCATGTTTGATGCTCTCCTGACCACAGGCTCAGACCTACAGAGCTGAAACTCACATCGCTAATAGTTGGTAATGGCCTGAGAGTAATGGTGTGAAAACACACACCTAATATGACTCTACAGCGCCACCTATGGAAGGCTTCTGACCTAAACTTTTCCTATCTCACCAAAGTTGCAAAATCAAATCTTTACATCTGTACGAGCAAAATACTACTCTACGTAGAGGGTGCATGTCCCGGAGGTGACCACTAGGGATGCACTTTATCATATAAATGAGCTTTTATATACGTAATCCTGGTCAGATCGGGCTGCCAATTCGTCTGCGTGACGCTTGTGGGACTGGCGCCCAGGAGGCGGTCGCAAGAGGGGCGAGGCCTTTCATCGCCGCTTGCGGCTTTAATTACTTTTATTTTTTGTATCCCCAATTGTCCAAACACACTGCTTACAAAGTGAACAGTGAATGTTTTAAAATGAAACGGTCTTTAGAACTTTAAAACTCACCTGTGCAACTGCTGGACTGCACACACTGTACATTCATCAAACAGTATACAGTACTTACTCCCTACATAAAAAATTAAACAGCAGAAATCTTACCTATACTTTACTGTGACAGAACTGTGTTGTCCAGTTTGTCCTGGGCACAGAACGGCCTCCTGTCGCTTCATCAGTGGTTTTCTCTCCAGTATTTCCCAAAAGAATATTCAAAGAACACAAATACAAAGCTTGCTGTCATATAAAAAAAGAGGCCAAAACATTGCGGGTTTACAAAGACTTTCTGTTTACATAGCCCCGAAGACAGTTTTTTATTGTACGAAATAAGAAGTATTATATTTATTCTCTCAACAATTGCAGGGGGGAACTCATGATTTCAGCAGATGTCATTATTTTATGCAAAAGCACTCCTGTATGCAGTGCTTCATGAATTACATGAGGTCTTATCTTGCCCTCATGAGAATTAGGAGACAGAAAACACTGAGGAAATTCTGCTGCGCTGGGCTGTTTCAAACGCACTGTGTACTTTCTGCCACAGAACTTAGAGTTAATATAAATTGACCTTTCATTGTGTTTGTCTGTTCTCTGGACCACAGGGAGGACGCAGAGGCTCCCAAGGCCAAATTGGTGAAGCCCAACTCGCTGTCTTCGTCACGGTCTGGCAGCTCTCGCTCGGGCGCCTCCTCCACTCAGTCCATGGTGCACAACAGCGTTCAGCGTGGTCACCGCCCCCGTCCTCCGGCTGTCGCTGCTCTGAAGGAGAACGGCCAACCCCCCGGCTTCCCTCAGTCCCCCCCTGCCTACACCACAGTGGTCCCACTCACCAAGACCCCCGAACCCCCCACCACGCCCAAATACAACTCCAGGAACATCTCCGCCCCTACGCCGCCCACCCTCATGGTCCCAGCGCAGACCAAGGCCTTCCAGACTGTTTAAAGAGGACCGCCCCCTGCCCCTCCCCTGCAGCCAAGAGACTCACAGCCTCTGCTCTATAGCGCCCCCTATGACTGAACTCCTCCATCGTAAATGCAACTATGTAAGAGGAAGCTATTACAACTATAAATTCTAAAGTACTTTTAATGAATGCATCAAGAAAAATTATGACTTGCTTGACCCCCACTGAATGACAGAACAAAATAGAAGAAATCCCATCTCCAGAATGCATCACTGTGTGTCTTGGCTGAAGGCTGAACTTATCTCTGAGTTTCTCTTTTTTCTTTTGCTTTGGGAGACACAGAGTACAATGTTTAACAAGGTGGAAAACCCTCCCTCCCCAAGAAGAGCTTTATTTATTTATAAAAGGCAAAAGCTTAGAGGAAGGAATAGGAAATGAAGGCCCCCAGAAAATATTGTTGGACCAAATACAACGTTGGATGGGATGGATTGGGCGCACAAACTATTTTCAAATCAATTCACTGCAGGAAGGACTGTATAGATGATTGGTTTAAAGTTCGCCTCTCATTACTAGACAAAAAGGGAAGTTTCTCTATGTCATGCCCGAATTCCCTATACTGATAGTAAGTAACAATGGTGAATAATTAATAGTATTAGGTTTATAGGCAGCCAATACTGAAACTATAGGGATAAGCATTAAATCCGCCTGGCTTTTTTTATTTTCATTCTTTATGTCTGTCTGGGAACGGGTGAAAAACACTGACAGACTGTTGTGTGTGGGTTCATGAATATTAAGAAGTGCCACAACAATTTACACGGGCTTTTAATCACTGCTTTTTTGTCAATCGCTTCACGTGTCTAAAGTACGAAGTAATCGCAAAAACCAAAATGCTGGTTGAATGTTTTGAGCTTTTCAAGAGGGTGGTTTTCTGTTCCTTTCAAAATCTATATATGCACATTCCTATTCACAAAAGTGGAAAAAGCAGTTGGAAAGGGCGCTGTTTTCAAGCAAACAAAAATGTCAGTTTTCCAATTGTTGAGCGATATCACATTCCAGGCATGATATTATGAGAGCTTCTTTATTCATACATCAATAGTTTGGCTACATTCTACAAATTCTTGATATTATTCACAACAGAGCAAGGATTGAATTGAATAATAAATTAATACAAATTGTATAAAATTATTGCAATCCGTAGGACAGACTTCACTTGCAGCCAAAATTATGTGTCACGTTATTTTGTGACTATGGGAGCGCATTGCATTTATTAGTGAGGCTTTCTGGACCATTTAACAGTAATGACAATACCAAAAAAAAAGAAAAGAAAAAGTGACTGCTATTCCCGGTGTGTATGTTATTTAAAAGCGGAAATATGCAACTGTTTATCTGAAAAAAGTTGATGTTATTGCATATTTGAGCTTGTAGTGACCCAGTGGCTGAGTGGTCTCTAGGATGCTAAAGGTTCACCAGAAATCTCCAAAAAATATATATACCCTAAAGATCAAAAATGCAAAAATAGAGACGAAAAAGTTTATGCAACGTTTTCATTTATGGCTGAAACAAACAAATATTATGAGAATCAATTAATCTTGCAATCAGTAAATGAGAAGGCTGATACTACAAATATTCCAGACAACACTATTATCATAACAGTATCATAACAGTGAGATTTAATGCATTTCTTGGCTTAATTACTGCTGTTTTTGAGTCTAAACATCGCATCACTCCATCTGTTGCTGTGTGAATATCAAAAATAGTCGTGATTGATCAATGAATCGTTACAGCCTATATAATATGTATTTATATAGGGCATCTTACGGATCAAGGGACCCCATAGCACAATACAATGTTTTGGAGTACCGATATTTTCCATTCAGTCTACACACGGTGATGACAGAAGCAACACTTTACCTGTCAGCACTAGAATTCATTATGTTATGCCTGTTAGGTCTTTGATATTGTGCCTAATGGATCATTGTCAGGACTCTTTCCAAAGTAAAGCTAGATCTCTATCTTGGTTGGTCTGGCCATTCTATCAGTGCTTTTATTGCACCCTGACTCCTGGTTTGATTGAGATTATACAGATGAATACGGCAAGTAGCCTCTCGTGTGCCTTTGCAGTCCCTATACTTTGATGATTTCTTCTTTGTCCACATCCCAAGCGCAGCAAGTGGTCAGGTCTCGGTTCAAGCCCAGCTTTAAGGGTCATATAATATATAGCTTGCAGTCCAATCCTCCAGCCAAGGGAATGCCAATTATCCGCAGGGGAAAGCAATCTTGTGCCAGACCTTACTATATAAACTGTACATTGTGTAATCAGACTTGTTTTATATTGTAAATACAATAGATATACGCACATGATGTCATTCTGAATCTAGGCGAATGTAAGGGGAAATAAGAAAAAATCTCCTTACGAAAAGACAGGTGGGACATGCAGAAGTCATGACCCCCACATACACACCTACGTATACAGTATAGGCCACTTTACTAGATGCAATGCCTATAAGACACTCTCTTCATTCACGTTTTGAGTAAATAGTTGAATGCTCCGGGGTTTAAATCATTTGAATGTGCGTTCACGAATGGAGTTGTCGTCACATTTATTGCATAGGTTGTTTGTTCCTGACTGTATCTAATAAGGTGGCCCATATTATTATTGTTTTTACATAATCTTACACTATACACACACCGCAAAATATACAGAATACTTGAGCAACATATCTTTGCATTCACTTTCCATTCCATATGTTTTGTTGATCTCCAGAATCTGTGTTATTTTGACTGCAGTAGGTTGAGAATGAAAAAAAATATATACAGTATACGTGATCAGTTAATTGTTTAGGAGACTATTTATGGATCCATTTTATGTTGGGAAAAATTAGCACCAGAATTATCACACAAAGCACCTCTACTATTTTCTCTCAGGAAAAAAAATCCACTGCTTACCAAATTCCTTCCAATTTGATCATAGATTTTTTTTTTTTTTTTTTCAATATTCAAATCTATTTTTATTTCAATCTGAGGCAGTCAACGTTTGGCCAGGCAGTGTAAGTGTGCTGGAAAGAGTACGGGGGTGTGTGCCCTCAGGCGGTAGAGTAGAATTCAGTCAAGCAACGTAACCTTTATCCACGTTGATATGACTGCCGACTGCCAGTATGTATCTCAAAAGCTCATTTAGAATCAGTGCTTATGTTGTTGCTTATTTTCTGCTTTTATCTAGGAACAAAGCAAGTCCATAATTCATTTTTATTGCCAGCACTGTGGTCTTTCTTTACTTCTGAACTACCGTACAGCAGATGTTGATGTGCACTTAAGAGCATCCTTAAATGCTACGTTCACATGCATACCGCTGGAATTTGTCAAGTTTGGTAAAAAAACAATCTTTTATTATTTCCCAGCTCTTTACAAATCAATGTGATGGATTGAATGTCTGCAGCTGCTTCGGTTGATGGATGCAGCCAGGGATGCCAACTGCAGCACTGAGTAAGACACTAGCCAACACAGGGGACAATACACGCGCGTACGCATTTGTAGATATATACGCAGCGGACATAAAACTATCTCTTTCTGACATACAGCTATGCATCTTTACATTCACAGATAGCACATGCATCAAGACTGTTTTTATTATGGGATTGAAGTGGTGCAAATCAGGGCAGGCAAATGGTAAGATTGATGCAGAGCCAAGAACGTCGGCGCTCCTGCTATTGGAATGAAATGTAGCGGTGGAGGTGAACGGGATGCAAAGTCTTCCAGCTGTAAAATTCCACCCCGATATGTTGCTGTTTTATGTGATTTACACAATTTGCAAGAAGTCTCAGATGGCAGAATCCCTGTTTTATGAGTCCTGTATTGCTCTAGTCCTAAATGTGCAAAATATCGCCTGAATATATTACTTAGAGTTGATGTCATTCAGAAGACAGGGCACGTCTTACCTTGACTGTATCCATCCACACACTGTATTATCGGCACTCACATGTAGTCAGAATATACCCATTTGCTGTCATCTGCATTATATGATAGAGGTATAAATTACATGTAGCCACTTTTTATGTTAGAACTTTTTAGTTTTAGAACATTGAACGGGGAACAGGGAGATTTTATGTGGAATGTCAACTTTTGATTGAGTTTGTGAGAAATGCGTTTGGTCTGGAGCAAGGCAAAGGTTGCTGCATGTCTTTGATTGAGACCAAGCAGAAGAATGCACAGGAATGCTTTGCTTTGGTGTAACATAAGCTTCAGTTTAAGAAAAATAATAAAATAAAATAAATAAAAAAATCTACAATTGTAAATATAATCACACATTTTTCCAAAGCTTTATTTTTTGTCTCATGTTCATGTACTTTGCACTTTGTGTGTGCTCTGGTCGCCACTGGCCCGGTGTGTGGGATGTCAGGGACAGCGGACAGGAAAGGGAAATGTATCACTCACTTTGTTTCATTCATCCTCATCTATTTTTCTTCAGTGCTTTGGATTCTCAGCTTGTTCGTTTGTCTGTTTGAGAAATACAATCCATGTAAATATCACAAGTAAAAAATGTATATTTTTACGACTTCTGAGTTACTACTATTTCATTTGCAAATAAAATATACAATGACAACATACTGATTTTGTGTTGAATTTATTTTCATTGCGATGTGTCCTTGCATCACCTGATGACAAACTGTGGTATGGGCATGTGATTGATTTGTGCATTTCAAACGTACAAATTAGTTAAATGTTGTAAAAAAATATAATATTTAATCTCAAAGTGTCATATATTTTAAGTGGGCCCAAGTGAATGAGAAACTATGTAATAGATATTAGGTCGAATAAATGTATTATCTCATGTGGTTCTGTTTACAACATAATGTGGCGCCATCTGCAGGTGAAAAGCAGCTACCGTCAGACCTCTGAACCTAAGCAGTGCAGGGCCTGGTTAGTACTGTGAAGGGAGACCTGAGGAAATGCCAGGTGCCACACTGCGGGGGCTGCTGTTGTAAAGTGCCAAACTGTTGTTGTGTCCTTAGGCAAGACACTTCACCCACATTGCCTAGAATGA